ATATTTTTTGTTTAAATGGCTGAATAGTATCCGTCTATAATTCAGGTAACTTTTAATTATTAAGGGACTTCCAGGCCTACCAGGGCCAAAAGGGATCCAAGGATACCATGGAGCAGATGGCATTTCAGGAACTCCTGGAAAAGCTGGGCTGCCAGGAAAACAAGGACTTCCTGTAAGTAGTTCAATTACCTCTTTGCTCTTTATTTCTCATGTGCAAGTGTGTCCTTGTTAGAACACAGATATTTTGGCTATTTTCTTAGCTTTGGCATTGACTCAGATGAAACCATCATTTTTTAATAGCTACTTTGTAATTGACCTTCTGATTATGTCAAATTAATTTCCAGGGAATGTCAATAGGAGTATTCTCTTGGCTATTTTATATCTGATAAACCATACATGAGTATTCCATCAATTCCTAGAGCCTTGTTCTTCACCAGTTCCTTTGCTACAGCTTGGACTTCTTCCTTCAATACCATTGGTTCTTGATCATATACTATCTCCTAAAATGGCTGAACATCGACTGGTTCTTTTTGGTACAGTGACTCTGTATATTCCTCCCATTTTCTCATGATGCTTCCTGCATTGTTCAATATTTTGCTCATACAATCCTTCAATATTGCAATTCGAGGCTTCAATTTTTTTCTTCAGTTCTTTCAGCTTGAGAAACTCTGAGCATGTTCTTCACTTCTGGAAATGGATGAAATATCCTTTGAGATATTTCAACAAATGGATGTAGCACTGGAGATGCTTACTCGAGTATGCTAGGAAATTTGGAAGGCAGCAACCTGGCCATTTGACTGGAAGAGATCCATATTTGTGCTCATTCCAAAGAAAGGTGATCCAGCAGAATGTGGAAATTATCAAACACTATCATTAATATTACACACAAGAAATATTTTGCTGACGATAAATCAAAAGCAGTTGTAGTAGTTTATTTACAGGAAACTTCCAGAAATTCAAGTTGGATTCAGAAGAGGATGTAGAATGAAGGATATCATTGCTAATCTCAGATGGATCTTAGCTGAAAGCAAATAATACCAGAAAGATGTTTTCCTACATTTTATTGACTACGCAAAGGCCTTTGACTGTGTGGATCATAACAAATTATGGATAATATTGGGAAGAATGGGAATTCCAGAATACTTAATTGTGTTCATGAGAAACCTGCACATAGACCAAGAGGAAATCATTGGAACAGAACAAGGGGATACTGCATGGTACAAAATCAGGAATGGTATGCATCTGGTTGTATCCTTTCACCATACTTATTCAATCTGTATGCTGAGCAAATATTCCAAGAAACTAGACTATATGAAGGAGAACAGGGCATCAGGATAGGAGGAAGAGTCATGAACAACTTACGATATACAGATGACACAACCTTGCTTGCTGAAAGCGAAGAGGACTTGAGGGACTTACTGATGAAGATCAAAGACGACAGTCTTCATTTTGGATTATAGCTCAACATAAAGAAAATACAAATTCTAACAGCTAGACCAATAAGCAACATCACAATACATGGAGAAAATATTGAGATTATCAAATATTTCATTTTACTTGGTTAACATCCATGAAAGCAGTAGTCAAGAAATCAGACGTTGTATTGCACTGGGAAAATCTGCTGCAAAAGACCTCTTTAAAGTGTTGAGCAAATATGTCACTTTGAAGACTAAGGTGCACCTAACCCAAGCCATGGTATTTTCAGTTACCTCATATGCATGTGAAAGCTAGACAATGAATAAGGAAGACCATAGAAGAATTGATGCCTTTGAATTGTGATGTTGGAGAAAAATACTGAAAATACCATGGAGTACCAGAATGAACAAATCTGTCCTGGAATAAGGGCAGCCAGAAAGCTTCTTAGACACGAGAATGGCCAGACTTTGTCTCTCCTACTTTGGTCATGTTGTCAGAAGGACAAGTCCCTGGAAAGGGATATCATGCTTGGTAAAGTGGAGGGTCAGTGAAAAAGGGGACAACCCTCAACAAGATGAATTGACACAGTGGCTACAATGATGGGCTCAAGCACAGCAAGGATTGTGAGGATGGCACAGGGCCAAGCAATGTTTCATTCTGTTAGACACAGGGTCGCTATGAGTTGGAATGAACTTGATGGCTCCTATCAGTAACAACAACAACAAACTATACAGTGTGTCTTAGTCAGCGTTCTCATACCTGACTATGAATATAAGTAAAACTTAGAGAAAGAGAAAGATTTACTTCAAGGAAATGGCTCACACAATTGGAGGACTGGCAAGTGTGATATCTAGGTCGGATAGTAGGCTGGGGACTTCTGCTTAGAAGATTTTGGAGTCTGGCAAGACCAAAATCTGCAGGTCAGGTGGCAGGCCAAAGACTTCTACGGGCTTAAATCCCAAGATCTATAGATCAGATGAAGAGAAGAGTGAGCTCTGCCAGAAAATTCATTTATATTCTGGAGACAGAACACACCCCCAAGGAAAATCTTATTTCAACTAATTCGTCAATCATATTAGATCACATCATAGAAGGTGATTATATACATTATATTACATTATATTATGGAGTAACAACCAGTCCAGTGTCTGGCCAAACTAGTGAGAATCATAGCCTAGCCAGGTTGATGTATAAAATTAGCCATTACACATTGTTAATAATTTATGCCATTTTTATACATATAAAAGCTTGTAAATAAGAACTATAAAGAAACATAATTTTAGGGGGTACATAACATGGTTGTGTTTTGAGTTCATCACAGTCTTCAGCCACCTTTGGAACATTTAGGTCTTAGCAGTAACTCAAAACAGGTTCTGCCAAAAATCATTTTCTCTTACTTTTACAACCACAGTACTTTACAAGAATTGTGTGGATATTTTCTCTGTGTTCATTTAGTGGTGATGCAATGATATAGAGTTTCCCTTATTTTTATGCAAATTTTTATCTTACTTATTTGATCAGAAATGGAAAAATCATATCACTTTTGTCTTCACTTAGCCATTTTCCATCTTTTCTTCCATAATGTCATCCTGATCCAGATATTTTTTTATTACCCCAGGTTGTGTTTTCTCTCAAAGTGTTAGAAGAGTTAACCACATAGAACCCAGTAAAATTTACCCAATAATTTGATAAAAGTCACCTGCCTGACTCCTGAATGCCAGAGAAGGAAAAGAAAGAAAAAGAAAAAATTATTTTTGATTTTGTTTTTTATTCTCCTCTTTATCTTTTTTTTTTTAACCCTAGGTATAGAGAGTTGTTGGGTTAATTATACTCATGAATTTATGGCATGTTATTACCATCCTTCAGTTTTTACATGGACCTTTTCTTTGATTCATTTTCTTTTGTCCTCATTCTCATTTCCCTCTCCCTAATATAAGTGTTTTAATATATATTTTTATTTGAATATATTCTTCCAAAAATATAGTGTTATTTTTTTATATAAAGATATTAGGTTGTTTTTTACTTCTTTCTCTAATCACTAGGATTTTATAATCCATCCATATTATTATAAGTGTATCAGCTGTGTCTCTTTTGACTGATATATAATACTTCATCTATGTATTTCACCTAACAGAAGAACTTTAGGTAGGAGTAACACATCAGTGTCCAGAATATGTGTCTATCCCTGTGAAGACAATAACAGCAACCTTTGACTGGATCCCTAGGGAGCATTACTGTGGTGGAAGCTCCATGTTGACCTCCCTTTTGGCATTTGTGGCATTGGGCAGGGGTGGTAGCCAAATCAGCCTTGATGAGGAAAAGTTCACATTGTTAGACTCCTGCCTATGGGTCCATTGAGCAACCACCAGAATTACAATGGAAAAAAGTTAACTTACATCTACAAAATGGGCCATCTTGTTTACCTGATGCTTGAGATCCTCCTCTATAGAGAGTTTGCTACAGAGGAAACTTTATAGTAAGTACAAGGGATATAAATATCTTCACACTCTGATCCCATTATGAGAGGTACATCTAAATTCATCTCCCTTAAACCTCCTTATCGTTAGCTTTTCAGCTTCATCATTTCCAAGCCCCTGACCAACTGACCATTAGCCATTGCTATTTGAATTAGCATAGCTCTGTAACTCAGCTATTTCTCCTTTTAACTATTTGTGTTGCCCTAAGGTCTGCCCACTGGGAAGAGTACCAAGGATACCCTTCACTAATATCCTTCAGATTTTAATGCAGCAGGGCAGCCATCCACTTCTGGCTGATGTTTTCATTCCACACAGATACATCCATAAATTAGACCTAAGTTTGTTCCCCCTCCATTAACTGCTAAAGGAAAATTTCCAGGAAGACTAAAGGAGTAATGGTGAAGCAGTAGGAACAAGTGGTACTATAGGAGTCTGAATGACCTGTTTATGCATTTTATTTGTGCTCCCCTAACCTACTGGGGTCTAGTCTCGATATATACCATTTTCATTTAAGAATCAAATGCTGCTGAGAATATCCAATTTTATGATTCATTGGATCAGATATCACCAGTTCATACTGGGAAATTTAGAGCACATAGTCATTTGATGTGCCAGGTCACTCATTCAGTTTCAACTAGAGTAAGCCTGGAACTGCCTTCCAAATGGAGATTTATATTTGATACAAGAAGGCATGACTCAGCCCCAAAATGTTATAAATATAAGCTATAATTCTCATAGAGGTATTACCAAAGCTCCATATACCATCTCTACTGGTCATAAGATCCTTCTGATATTATTGAGTGTGATGTAGCCTGAATCTGCTGAAGAGTCATTTCTTGCTTCAATGAATATTCAAAACCAGCAACCTTACAGAACATGCAGTAAATGACTTGGAGCAGCACACACAAATGGGGTATAAGTTGTTTCCAAAATCTAGAGAGACTCACCAAGTGTTATAACCCCTTTATTGTGATTGGTAGTGCAAAGTGAAACAACTTGTCTCCACTTCAAAATGATATCCTCATATGCTCCAAACCACTACACTTAGAATTCTCACCCATTTGTCAATCCCCTAAACTTTTTAATGCTATCCTCTTGTACATCTCTAAGACACTTGTTCTTTTCTCCTCTCCAGGTCTAGTTAATATAATGTTATCCGTACAATGTACCTGCATGATATTTTGTGAGCTATCAAGACTATAAATAAATGTCTTACTAGTCTACTTTATGACAGAGAGGAGAATTTGAGTCAGCATGACACTGAAGTAAGACAATGAAG